AAAAAATCTGATGATCACCAGTATCCGTGAATTCAAACCGAAATGCTTCTCGCCCGAGCAATCGTGGTCCGACGGCCGTCTGGGTTTTCTTTTTCACGACACATATCCACGTTTTCGGACGAACCGTGCACATGCAAACTGACCTTCAAACCTTTTTCGGCTCTTTTGGTACAGCCCCAATCGCGGTGTTTTGACGAGAAGGCAAGTTTCTGTCTGGTTTCTTTCAGAACAACGCAGGAATTCACGTCTCGCATGGTGATTTCCGCCCGTATACGACGATGAAAGTGCCCGTGATATATTCAAACGTGGCCCTTGATTCTCGCAGATGATGCTACCATGTTTCTAAAGCTCATAAACAATTAATGATACGTGTACACGTGGCGAGACAAAGAGTGAGAGGAATGTTGGAGGACACCGAGCACGTACAACGTGCCATGCGTCTATACTCTGTTCCACGCGGCGGCGTGTGTTCCCGAGAACCTTTGCGTAGATACATTTCGTTCCGGTGCTTTAATAAGACAGATGGGAAACGCCAGAAAGACAAGACCGACTGGTGGCTGTGGTTAACATACACGACCTGATATTGGGAGACCCAATGGAGGATAGAAGGGTAGGAGAGGGCATGACGTCAGCCACGTAGCCTCCACAAGCCATGCTCCCTTGACGCCGCGCCTCTGCCTCATTTTCCTCCTTACTCTCCTCACTTATCAGCCCAACATGACAACATCACGTGACCGTAGCTAGCCTTCGCCTAGCCTACGATCTGATAAAACCTACCCGACGGAGCGCGCGCAAGCCTGCAAGGAATCATTCTACAATCAACCATCCATCTCGCACGTGACATGTCACGCGCACCAATCGCCAGAGAGATCTGCGGTCACGCTGGGCACAAAATCGTTTAAACTTTTTATGACTAGGCTTCACCAATATTGCAACGTGCCCCCTCCTAGTACTTCTAAACTCCTTGGGAGACCCGGAGTTCTAATCCCTGCTCCGCTAAAGGTTTCGTCTTTCGGCGGTTGCGTATAGACCTGTTTCTCATTCTATCAGGTTCATTGATCCGCATATTCTCGATTGTAGGGCATATATCATTAGCGTGTCTATCCCAATGAGGCTATCAGTAAGGTTCCTGCCTGAGTATGAAAGACAGCGTTGAAGCGAAAGGTTAACGAGGTCGAGAATCAGGCCAATCGGCAAACGCTAAACTTGATGAAAATGCAGCAGCACTCCACACGAAATCTGAAGCCCAAGTCCCACTTCTCATCCATCATACAAAAGACAGTCTGCAAACTCGAGTCACCCCAATATCCGGGGTTAGAATGTGGGTGTGCGTGCCAAGTTTTCTCTTTAAACTCACTGTCGCGCCGCATTCGAAGCACTGATCTCGCGGTGATTCACGTTCGAATCTGTATGCTGACTGTCTTTTCTATGCTGTATAAGCAGTGCGACCTCGGCTCCGGGGTCGCACTGCTTATCTTATTTTTGGTAGCTAGAGGGCGTTTTTATTTTTTTTCCCCCTTCCAGAATTCGAAAAAAAAAAATGTAAAGGAAAAAGAATTGCGCTGCCTCTGTGACCGGATTGCCCTCGTTTACTTGCCTGCTGGCAGCTGTCCCACTATGCTGATGGAATCCTCAGGATTCTCCGTATCTTCTTGTCGGCTCGGCTTTGCTGGTTAAAAACAACTCATTTTCTTTATTTCTAAACTATTTTAGTGGCGTCTTATCGAGTTCGCACTTCGGCTTTTTTGGTTCGTTAGCATTTTCTTCTCAGCGTTTTAGAACGTGTGCTAAAGTATTGCCCCAGCCCGCAAAACAATCCGTGTTACGGGCCGGGCCCGGTGCTTTCGGGTTGTCCCGGCCTCTTGCAGAGCTAGCTACGCCCCCCGAGCCATAATTTGGAAACACCTGCATCCGCCCCTGCGCACGACACATTCTCTGTTTCCCGGATTTATCACCATGATCGAGGAAAGTTATTTTAGGTGTTTTTTCTTAACAAAATATGATTAAAAAAACACACGAAGATAATCACAATCTTCGCAATTCGCTCCTTTTCATCCGAGTATCAGAAAAAGTACCGCTGTGAGGTCACAGGCCAGTGATTTTCATGGAACGTTGTGGGCAGCAATGAGCAAGACGAAGCATGCATTTTCAAAGTGACTGCGGGACGCAAGTAATGCAACCTAACCAAAACACGTCTTAGCTAAGAGCTGGTCGCTTGACTATTCTTCGTCTTCAGATTTAGAGTGCATCGTCCTCCAGTTTTGATAAAATCCTAACATTTTAAAGCTAAATCTTCTTTTACGGTTGAAAAAATACGTCACCACAGTGACCGTTGTATATATATTGACCCATACAACCAATAACGGCTTTCTTGACTCTTGTGCTTCGCCACCGACCCTCAACTACAGTACAAACAGATCCCGTATTTTTGGTTTCTGATGTTGCAAAAATATTTTTGATTACGTAACGGCACCGCACCTGCGTATGTTCCCGGTGCATGCTGTCCGCGCTCGGTATTTATTGCATCCACGTCTTGCTCCTGTTAAAAATGACAAACCGCTTTTTTTTCTTAACAAATATCACTCCATGCTGACTAATAAAACAATCCCAATGCAAATTCTTCTTATTTCCATAATTCCTACTGATATCATAATTTGTATTCTTTGAAGAAGTGAAAATAACCCTCAACTTCTTTTGATTTCGGAGGTGACCGTGACCCCTGAAAGGCTCCACAGTTGGTGATTGACCTGCAGTAAGGATTTCGAAACCTTCGAACATTAGGTGTTCGTGCCGCCAAGATCAAGCTTGATCCGCATTGTCCGCTTGGTCGTAACTATCTTGCGCGTCACCCTCGGGGACATCGAGAGCCTAAGCAGCGTACTGACACTCTCAGATTGTTCGTTGACTAATTTCTAGCGCAAAACAGCCTGATCACGACCGCCACACTCGGCGTCTACCGAGCTGACAACGAGCAATGGTGTGAAAAGCGTAGAACGGAACATTTTGACACATGTAGTCCCAGAACTATACAGTCCGGAAAATGCGATATATGGAAAGAAATCACCTACAAATATTCATAATAAATTGAAAATCTGAATTTTGACTTCGGTGCTGCTTTCATAAACGCAGAGACAGGTGTGCTAAGTCGTCGAAAAGCTTCTTTTTTGGTCGATGTTGGTGCCGTTCACTGCTCTGGAAATGTTACCCGGCATCAAAATGCACAGCACGACTGTAATCCAGGTTTCAAAACAATATTGGCGAACTCCCGGTCTGCATCAGGAAAACAACAATTTGTCGGACTGTAATCATTGACCTCACCTTTAACGACAGGGACGCGACAAGTAATCTATGAATTAAGCTAGATTACATTCTTCAAATATAGTTTTTTTAGAAACTTTAGACATATAAGAACCGGCCTCCGATACTACGAACACACTGCCTGCTCAGATAATATATATATAAATCTATATATATACATATATAGATATATTCTTTTTTATTATAAAAGTAGGTTATGTCAATATATTTGCAGCGGCCCCCGTGGTATCATGCAAGGTGAATGTGGGCTGCTAAAAGTTTGCCCGACGCAACGAAGAGCTTACAGTTTACAGAGCGCGTTCTGTTAACATGCACTTGCTACAAGTACGCGACAGGCAAAAATACTTTGCAAAGCCAAGAACAAAAAAAAAACCAAAAAAAAAGAAGAAGAAGCGCGATACTTTGAATGGTTTTTACAACCTGCTGCGATTTCACTCCGTGGCCCCATTGCTCTTAATCGGAACTGCAAGTTCTCTGGTGTTTACCTTTACCGGGAGAAAATAATGAGCGATATCCCCTGCATAGCACCCGCATTCTATCCCCGGCGACCTTGTGACGTCATCCTTATAAAGATTGGACACCACACGCTACCGGTTCACTGAGGTCTATACTCAGTTAACTCTAGCCTTAACGTCGCTGCGGCCAACGGTGAAATAAACTTTCTCCTGGGAGCATAATTTGAGCGTTAAACTTTATATAAAATGGCGCGCGGTCACACTAATTAGAGTGTAAAACTTCTCGTACAAAGCCAGAAGTCGCCGAAAGATTCCTCGAAGCGATGCAGGCAAAAATACACGAGCGAAACCCTAAAAGCCTTAGTGACAGGTGCTATGAGACGATGCTCAAAATCCAGGCATCACGCTCCAAAATCATTCACAAACAACCAGATCGTGGCGATTATCTTGGGCCCATAGAAGCAGTGCTCCACCTGAGATTACGTTCACCCCAGCCTGTTGGATGCAGAAAGTTAATTCAAAAGCAGGACATCGCAAAGCTTGGAGAGTTATATCGAATTTACGGAGATGTGTAAGCTCGCGATATATTTATGAATTCGCAAAACGGCGGTGCACTTCGTTGCCAAGTTTCAATCGAGCCATTAGGAGGAGCGGCGCAAACTATGAACTCGGTGTCGCAGCATATTCATAACAAAATCAAATGAATGCCAAGCGCACGCTGCGGCTCTCAGAATAAGGAAGCGAGAAATGGTCCGAATAATTCCTGCATCGCGCACACAGATCAACGGTCTAAACATGCGCGCAGAAAGTCAAAGCTGACCTCATGTGTGAGACACGTAGACCTTGGCTCGTTCCCAAACGTGCGAGGTAACTCTGCTCGCTGATGAGACAGCTTTGCATTCCTTGCGAGCACAGAAACGAAATGCGAAACAGCAGCGGGCGTACCCAAGCGAGCGGAGGCAATCCGGGGGCTCGGCTTCGCCGTCAACGCCCGCGCGCTGCGGGCGAGTCCAACGCCAAGGGCTCGGTCGTCGAGGGCCCGGACACTCCGAGAGTCGGGACGTCGACGCCCTCGGCGGCACGAGCGAACAGGACAGAAGCGGGGCTCAGCTGTGACCAGCTTTATTCTCGGCTGCACGCTATTTACAAAGAAGGCGTAGAAAAGGCGTCCTCGGGGCGCAGTAAGTCCTATGTACAGTCACGGGGAACGGAGGGGTCGGCGCGCCGTCACAGCTGCGTCTGCGTCTGTGGCGAGAGCTTGGCGGCCGCGTGCGCGAGCCGCTGCATGTCGAGGTGCTGTTTGCGCCACTTGATGCGCCGGTTCTGGAACCACACCTTGACTTGTGCCTCGGTGAGCCGCAGGGCGGCGGCCAGGTACAGTCGCTCGGGCCCCACCATGTACTGCTGGCGCTCGAACTCGGCCTCGAGCCGCTCCAGCTGGTCGGCCGTGAAGATGGTGCGCACCCTCCGGGCCCGGGGCTCGCCGTGGCGCCGCGCCGAGTCCGCGCCTCGGCGTCGCTCGTGGCACGGAGATGGACCCCGGTCGGGACCCGCTGGCGTCGAGGAGTCCGGCGATGCCGGGCCCAGCCCCAGCAGGGCCTCGATGGTGAAGGCGGCGCCCCGCGGAGTCAGACTCCCCTGGTCGGAGGGCGCCGCCGGCAGGGCGGTCGTGGCGGGACACACGCTGTGCATTGCGGCGGTCTCTGAGTCCGCACGCGGCCGGCCGGCCAGCTTTTCTGCTCCGGCGGGGCTGCCGCAGCCACCAATGGCAGCGCGGCAGGGTCACGTGGCCCCGCGGGACGGGCCAATCGGCAGCCGCGAGGGCGGCCCCCTCTAACGAGCCGCGATGGCTTTATGGCGGTTTTCGGGGAGCCGGTCGGCGTCCCCTCGGCTCGCTCGCTCATTACCCCTGGAGCGGGAAGGGCCCGCGAGAGTGAGCCAAAGGGGTGCCGGCGATGAATCCCTCTGGCAGACTCGGGCCGTGGCCCCAGGCCTGCCGGGGACCCCTCACCTTCGGCCTTTTGAAGCCTGCCGCCGACTCCTGTCCACCTGACAGGGGCGCGCGTCCGCACGAGGTGGCACGGGCCACTCGGCCCGTCGTTTGACGCGACCGCGGAAACGATCCGGGCTCCTAATTGAGAGCGCCATTTGCTTTCGAAAAGTGTCCATTAAGCCCCGCGTTTTTCGGCGCGTCTGTATACCGTTAACAGCGGCGTTTGATTCATTGACCCCGCGCACTGCTCCGACCCATGAGCGGGTGCAACGCCCTGCCTGCCCTTGAACTTGACGGGGTAAAGCAGCGCAACGGGACACGGACGAATGAAAGAGGTACAGTGCGCGGACTACACTTGGTCTCACCTTAAGGCCAGGCGCAGCCAACGCTACGAGCTGATGGGACCAATCAGACAGCGTCAAAAAGGGCACCGTCCGGGTGTTCGTCGTGCTTCTGTTGTGTTCCATCATCGCCGAACCAATCATAAACAAAGAAAGGTCCAGTGACTTGCGTTTTTTACGCCTCTTAATTGGTCTCATCTCGTAGCGTCGGCTGCGTCTGAACTTAAGCTGAAACGAAGTATAGGAACTGAATATTTATTTTGCTCACATCACATATATGACCTCATGGGCGAAAGCCAAATAAACAGAATTCAAAGCAAAAAAAAAAAAAAATCTTAGCACTAGTTTGCATTTAATACTTGTGCTAGCGCCGCACAGCAGTATACAGCGTGCAAGTTGGTCTGCACCCTGCGCACCCCGTGCGTTTTTTTAGCCCCAAGCTCAGCCAATGGCGGCGCGAGCTTCGCTGCCTCGTCATCGTGCGTTATCTACGCGCTCTCTGTATTGTCCTTTGGTTGGTGTGCCCCTCCTTGCGTTCCGATACGCCGAAGAGGCATTTTAGAACACTTGCTCGCCGTAGGCCTATCCAAAACAAACTTGAATTCGATGAATACTTCTGAACTTCGCAAACGTCTGTCCACGAACCACCCCTGTCTGAAGCGGCAAAACATACAACTCCAACATTTAAAAATATATATATATGTAGAAGAAATTACTAATGGAACGAAGTATGGCGTTCTACAAGAAAAGGGACGACGACAAGAAAATTGCGCGTATATAGATCGCTTTCGAAATTCGCGTGCCGATTATTAGAAGGTCGGTATTACTGCACAATGGCGGAACAACTGACATCATGAAACCTCCAAGTCATTTCATAACACAGCGAAAATGTCGGAGGGCGGCCAACGCTATAGGAGCTGACGAGCCAATCAAACAACGACGAAAGTGCATCGTCACCGCGCCCATTATCTGTTTTTGTGGGTTTGTTTTTGCCTTATAATGCATGAAGTGTGCCGTGACGTTGCTGTTTAAGTCCGCCATTGTGGAGGGATTCCACAGATGCCAAACAGAGGGCCTCGCTTTCCGAAAGGGGTCCATAGAAAACGTAAATATAGGATTCTTGCATGAGACCATGATGTACCGCTTATACTACCGGTTCATAAATCTCACCGGAACCCGCCGGAATCCATGTTGGAGGCATTCGTCTCTGTTAAAGGGGCGATGCAACGATTTTTGTACTTTGCGCAATTACCGCTTAGAACGGATCCCTGGCGTTAATAACCTGTGAAACACCCGTTCGTTTCTCACCACACGCAATGGGAGTTGCAGAGAAAAAAAAATTAAAGAAAAAAAAACGCATCTCCACGTGGTAAATGATGTTTATTGGGGCGAAGCTCTGGTGGGTGCTTGTCTGCGTAGACGCTGAGCCGCAGCATGTCGAGCCTTTCGTTCGTTTTCATCCATGTCACGCTGCGGTCAAATGCTCAAATGCGTATATAACCACGTTCCATACCACACATTCTCTTTCTGACATGGATGAAAACGAACGAAAGGCTCGGCATGTTGCGGCCCACCGTCTACGCAGACAAGCACCACCAGAACTTCGCTCCAATCAACATCATTCACCACGTGGAGATGCGGTTCTTTTTTTTTTTTTTTTTTGCCCAACACGAGCACGGGAGCACGTGCTGACGTGCTCATGAGCACGAGCACCCGACGCTGGACATCGGACGGACATACGGACATGGCTAGCCCCTAAGGAGCTTCGCCCCTAAAACGAGCAGTGTTTACCCCCTCAACTCGCAGCCAGAACAAACGGCCACGTGATCTGGAGCCGATTATATGCCGCCAATGTTGATCATAGCCATGCGCTGGGGTTGGCAAGGCACATGACACGCGCTAAGTTCCAGAGATTCTTATGGTTCTGCTATTGTGGTCAATGCAGCGATGGGAAACGGGCCACTACCCGAATGCTTCTCGAGCTATCGATTATCACGAGGCCAAATCGAGTGCTCACGGAATGCTTGGGTCCAATCTATGAGCCGCATTCAAACATCGTCACTGGGGATACTGCAACCTCACACGCTACGTCATCAAGTTTTGCGAAGGAGGGATTGAGAGAAAACGCTCGCCCTGCAGCAAAGGAGTTTCTTGGCCAGTGGCGTTCCGTGCGAGTATCATTGAGTCCCACTATAGTGCCAGTAAGCTCGTGTGAAGTGGAAAACATTCCAATTGAATATCGTTGCACTTCCCCTTTAAAAGCCCCTGAAATGATTTTTTTTAACTAAGTCCATGACGTCACGGGTCATTCCAGAATGACCATCTCGGTCGTGAAGGCGAAGCCGATCCACCTCTCCTCTACGGGCCCGAAATGCCGAAAGAGAAAACAAGTGGAAAGGAGGGGACTGCCGACTAAATCGCGTCTCGCGCCGTAAATATTGCTAAAAAAGAACAAAAAAAAAAACACCTTTTTTTTGCGTAAAATTAATTTTTTTGACACGCGTGTCCCAACAAAAATTAAAAAAAAAACATTTTTTTTTTCAGGGGCTCTTTAAAGGGCTACTCCACCGATTTTTTCATTCTCTCCGATTTGCTTGAAATTTTCCTAAACTAACCAACGAACATCGCGAAAATAGTATCCCAAATATTAGGTCAAAATATTGTTTTTTCGCGAAGTTATTGAATTTACAGTTTTGGTCCTCACCGTGTTTTTCAAGCTCGAAGTCTCTACTGGCAACAATGAAAAAGTGACGTCAGTGGAAGGCAGGGGTTCACTTTTTGGGCTGTAGATTTCGTTTTAAACTGATTCGAAGCAGTTTCATGGTGTCAAATGAATGCTTGGGAAGCTCGCTGCAGTACCCGCGCTCCAGCACGGAACAAATGATTGGCATATTCTATTTTTTGGCTGCTTGCTCGACTGGCAAGCCTGCCTGCCACTGACGTCACGGCCCTGAAAAGCGCGCGTATATTTGAATGTTGGTTTTTGCATCATTTTCATTTGCCGATTTCGCAATAACTATTATGATTTTCGCGATTCTAAATAGCATACCGGAGAGAGTAAAGGCCGGGGAGTCAGAAAATATAGTTAGTTGAGGTAGCTCAAAAAATCGGTGGATTACCCCTTTAAAGGGCAACTCCGCTCAATTCTGAAGATTTCGGGATAATGATTGATTTCGAAATAAAAAGCCCTAGTAAAACACACTACGTCGTTTGCTTCGCGAAAAATGGGATATATATTTTTAAATCTAATTTTAAACACGAGCGGAAATCGAAACCGAAACTTCGGCTCCGCCCGGCAACATTGGCCTCGGGTCGCCAAGTACATGGCCATTACGTGGTACGAGATGTCACGTGATCCTCGGCCCAACGACGGGGGGGATTGGGGCGGGCGTGTGGCAGGCGCGAGTGTCGTCTGCACCGCACTCTTCGCCACGTTTTGGTGTCTACGGCATTCGACGACGTCTGCACAACTGCGGCATAAGTCTGCGCACGTGGTGTCCGTAGCGTGGACGAAACTCTGAGAGACAATAATCACAATCGGTGAGACGACGACGGCGGTTGTGACGCGGAAGACGGCGGCAACGGTGGGACCACGGCGGGCGGTTGGTCTGCTCCCAAGAAGCGCGCTGCGCAGGCGCGTACGCAAATCACGTGGACACCGCTGAGCGCCGAGAGGCAACGTTGCTGACGTCATGCGCGACGCTCGCCCGCGGAGAAGTGAAAACAAGCAAAAGGGGGCAATGATAATGACGTTTAGCTCAATGTTGGCTCCGCCCATGCCGTAGCCTTGACTGCGCTGTTGGTTGCGCCTGAATTCGCCCACTCAAGTCAGCCGATTTCGGCAACTTGGCGAGTTGCAAAGTTTGCTGGACCGTTTAAGAAACATGTAGACAGAACTGCGTCGTAACATTTCACGTGTGGTCTTCCTAGGCGATACTGAAAAGGACTGCATTGTTTTTTCAAAACCAAAAATGAAGCGGAGTTGCCCTTTAAGTAGGGTGACTATATTCCTCAAGGTAGAAAACGGGACATCCCAGCCCCGGGAGAGGGGGGGGGGGGGGGGGGACGAAGTGTATGGAAGATTGAGATTGGGAGAAAAAATTTGATGGCAATCACTGCTATTTCAATACGTTAACATACTACATGCGTGCTATATTCAGCAAGTCAAAAAAATATGTCTACACACGAGTCTTCGCGAGAGAAAAAGTGCTTGCGGGCAAAAACAGTTCTCTAAATTTTACTGTGGGTAAATATTTTAAAGTACCTACGGCTATTTTACTAAAGTATACTTGTAACCAGTAGGCATAGTTTCGATTTGCTTCAACTCGCTTTGTGCAAATTTCGAAACTATGCACTCA